AAAAGCTCTAACCACTGAGTGTGAATAAGTGGAGTTCAAGGAGATAAGTGAGGCGGACCACGTGACGTTTTGAGAGGAAGAGGCGCAGAGGAAGTGGCAGTAAAAATACCATGCCCGCGCGTATGCGGCAGTTCACTCTCGTTGTTTTTCAGTTGATGTTTTTCAAGTCTTCCTAGCGTGTTAATTGGCAGTACGGTCGCGCTAGTTGCCGAAATCGACCAGTTAAATGGCAGGTATCTAACACAATCACAGAATTGTCGCGGACGCAAGTTAGCGTGAAGATAAAGAATGAAGGTGAGACGTAAGAACTTAACCGAAGCCGCGAAATTTACCAACTTCATGTTCAGCCCCGAACGTGCATTGCATATTTACTAAAACAAACGACATTTGGGGCGGGAAATACTCCCTGCCAGTTATGCACTCAACCCCGGACTGACTGCCCACCCCCCCTCCCCCTCCTCGGCTGATTTCCCTTGTTGTAGGGTTACTTTCATGAACATACAGCGACCGTTTGTGGTGGTTGAAGAAGAGGTCGAAGAAGTTGAGGTCTGAGTAAATTCTGCCTGTCTCGCTAATGTCGCCCAGCTCAAATGTGAAAGAAGAGAGTTAAGTTGGACAGAATGGTAGAAAGGAACCATGACGGAGGAAGTACCTGACCATTGGGTATTGCGACTTTGGGGTCTTTCGGTGAGGAGGATAAGGGCAAAAATTCCACATTGGTGTTCGCAGGTCTAAAGGACGAAAAACCAATGTAAGTGCAAGACTGTGCGGTCCCCAAGTTTGGGTGTTTTAACAAAGTGTTCGATATTGGTAGGCCTTTAAGCATTTTCGAACACCACAAATAATCCAACAGGAGTTCCATTCATAGCAGGGCCTCCATGCCACGCGTGTTTTTTTCTCGGGTCAATCCCCAAATATACTTGACTGGGTTAGTGCTCCGGCATAAATACATGGATATTTTTTAGATGGAATGGGTAGGTATGCCTCAAAAAATCCTCAAGGGCGATTTAAAGGATAAGCTGTTGTTTGACGGGCATCGGCTAAGATTTAACGTGCGAACTTTGTTTTTCGATGGCTTAGGGACTATTTGAACCACGTAACTAATATCAGAAAAATACTTGTTGGTGCCCCATGATATCATCTTTGAAGTCGACATCCCCTATACCATTATCATATTCAAGATTATTTTTAGCAAATTCTAAATCTGAAAAAGTACGATAATTGGTTGATCAGAGTGCTGGTATATTTTGCTTTAAAAAGCTCTGACTGGTAAGGATCTTACGGTTTCAAGTCAAAAATATAAACTGGACAACAGAAAAGCAGGTCTGCTAACGAGACCCTAATTTGGGCGTTGTCAATATGCCTTTTGAAAAAAAAGTCAGATTTGATAGAACTGAGTATATTAAGTCTGAAATCTTTTTGTGGAATCATGTAATTCACCTTAAACTATTACCGTCATCGCCCGGATGTGTACCAGGGATAAACCAAATTTTCTGGAATGGGGGGAAAGGATAACTCGACGTGCAGCTCACGATTATTACGCATCAGTGGCTCTTTGCCCTCTCACTTAGTTTTGGGCGCAGGAATAGGCACACATCGACCTGTTGGCTACCCGAAACAAAAGCGATGGTGTTTTTCATAACATTAATCGATCTTTTCAGGGACTAAGCGGTGACTCGATTAACTGTGTCTATGACCTCTAATTTTTGTCTTCATTGTACATGAAAAAAACGGAACGAACTCTCGTGCTGACCAGACAGACTGACAAGACCGAAAAAACGCCAGAAGAGACAGCTGTCACAGGGTTACTTTTGAGCGGATCAACGCCTGCCACTGAAAACATGAAGCTTCCAGTCCACACTGTGAAGACGATCTACGATTGATATCCGGCCGACGGGTCGACAGTACGATCGAACAGACGCTCGCCAAAGAAATCGAGTAAGTTAAGAATTGACAACTCGATCGTGCGTGGCCCACACAGACGCGCCGTCTGACTTTGTAAACCACAGTGTCCACGCCCAACTCCGGTCGCCCTGACCTTGGCTTGCCGGCAGACGACATCGAATGTGAGAAGAGAGTGAGGCAGATGGAGTGCAAGTCTGTTGCAGTGTAAATAAATTGAGGGGCAAGTCCCGGCTGCGTCTGCTTGGTGGAGCAGTGATCAACTTCGCCCGCGACGGTCAAAGTAAGGCGTATGTTAGTATTGATAGATGCAAAGATGTGTGTCGATAGAAATAACCGAAAATAAGAGGTGACCTCAGAAATCATAGTCATATTGTACCAAAGCGGACGAGCTTGCGTCATCAGAGATGCCTAGGCCGGACGTAAACACAGGTAAAATGAAAGTTAGGCTGAAAGTGACCGCAGACACGTCAGAAGCCGCATTAAACGAAGACTTAACTGTCAACACTAGTGCAGCAACCACTGCCGAAGAGAAGAGAGTAAGAGCAGTCGAGAAGTGGAAAGGAAGCGACTCAGGAGAGGGCAATCAAAGTCCACGCAGACGCAGGCGATAGACGCCAATGTGCAAACAGGTTTCCCGACGGATCAGTGCGGCAGAAGGCGAGGGTACGGACCATATTCTCCCGATTGCCCTGTAATAATCGGCAAGCCGGCGTGATCGCCAACCTCAAAAAGGTGTGGAGCGCAGAACAACGCAAACACCGGACGATACCAGCTTGTTTGCTTTTGGAACGTCAAGGCAGTAAAGACATGATTCCCGAGATAGTCTCCGCTGCTCATATATATGTGTGTGTATGTGTGTGTAATATCAGCAAGGAGGGACGACAAACAATGCGGGTAGACTGATACAGTACTGTTTCGGGACTATTGTGCTTTCATTCAGTTAATTATGACCCTGACCAGCAAATGGGACCGGGAGCACAAACATGCGCTCAGACACACCTAGCGCAGCTGGCCCACCACAGGGATCTACCAGATGGGTGTGTCGGAGCGCATGTTTGTGTTTCCAGTCCCAGCTGCTGTTTAATGTTATGATTGGTTGGATGAATGCAAAATAACCCGAAGCCGAAACAGTGCTGTATAAATCTACCCACATTCTCTGTCGTCCCTCCTCGCTGCCATTCTACATTGGCCGACTTCGGTCTCGTAGTTAGTTGCCTGTTCGTGACCTTTGTTATTCAAACAGAGCTTGTTTGCCTCAGAAAACCAACAGATCGGTGTGTGTCCATTCCTGATTAAAATATATACATATATATGGCGACTCGGATGTTCATTGGAATTTCGGGTCAGATCCTAAAAGGTCATGTTCCGGAAATTCAACTCCGTGTCCTGCATTGAATAATTTCTGAAATTATTCGCCTGACATATACGTATATATGCAGAATGCTATTGCCGACAAAGAGAAGGGAGACTGGAATGGCCATTTCAGGCCTATTAGCCCTCGCCAGCCAGCCATACCCAACCCCGAAGTGTGGAACACCTGGGGCTCGATTCTGCGACCTGTTAGTTAGAAGTCCGACGCCTCTAACCACTGAGCCACGGGCTCGTTGTCATGTCGGTTTCGATTGAGAATGTACCACGATAGAGGCCATTCTAGTCTCCCTTGTTTTTGTCGGTAATAACATTCTGTCTATATCATGCGCCGTTGTGGGACTGCTGGTTGGACTCGAGAGACTGTAAGGCACAACGGGACGAGTGAGTTCCGTAAAAACTATCGGTGAGTGTCCCTCTACTATTATGCATATATATATATATATATATGATGCACAAATTTCCCAAACAGATCAATGGAAAACCTTCTTGCGACGCATTTATATTTAAGACACCGCTATTCGACCAAACGTGGACGGGAATTCTACTGCTGGGTTTAACAAATAGACCGTCCGACCAGTTGAAACTTGCTTTAGTCTATCATCAAGGATGAGTTGAAATGCGCAGTCAACTGATATTTAGCAAATCCTCGCCGGGAGAAAACGTCGGCCACACTATTGAAATACAAGGGCAGAACATGGCAAGCGGGTGGCAAACCAATATCTCGGAAGGTCTTTATTCGAATGCCGTGTCTCCCCAAGCTGATATCAAATTAGGCAGTCAGACTGATCTAAGATCAGAATATGAAAAATAGCGGAATCGTCTCCTGAAGACGAGTGAAAAGTCACCGAGGACAAATCACACCGAGCTGACTGGATTTGTCGCAAACGCCAGACCTTGAGCGGTAAACAACGAGTTTCTTGGACGCATTGGTTATTAACGAGCTGTTGCTTTCAGTCCACAAATGACTCAAGTCGAAGTCCGCTTATTTACTGGAAAGCTCGCTGGACACTCTAAAAACGAATGGCACAACATACTAGCAATCAAACGATGAATTCACCCTAGAATTTCTACCTCCGTTTGTCCGCCTGCATTTGTTGGTCGTGGGAAATTTTCAAAGATGGGTAATTTTAGCTGTTTTTGTCCTCGAGATGGCTGCCGTTTTTAACAGGGCAATTTATCAACGATCCGATGTCACTTTCATTGACCGCCAGGCTCATGGATTCTGCTGTCACTGCTATTTCAGAGGCAATAATGGCCATGTGCGGTGTACATGTTCGTGATAGTGTTGATTATCCCGAATGGAGAAGGCATGGCAATAAGCTTAACGAAGACCCTCCGTCAGAGGTAGGAATGAGGAAAAATTGCAAAGCGGTATGACCGTGCTCTTATTTCTTATTCCCAAATGAACAGTCAGCCCAAGAAAATGTTCCTCGAGTTGGCGGAATGAAAAACATTCAAATAAGTAAGAATAGATGTAGTCATGCGTTTATGCACCAAAAATTGCAGTGAAGAAACGATGCTAGCTAAAAACCCAATATCTGTCAGTTTATTGTTACAGAGAAATGCTGAGCGCAGCCAAAGACGAAAACTTAAAAAACGGCCTACAGTAAATACTAACAAACGGAATGGCCCATATACAGAGCCAGCCCTAGGTAGATCTTTCCTGTTATTTAAACTGAACGGAAGCATTCACTGAACACGGATGAAACAGGTCTAGCACTCAAACCAGTGAAGCTAAGCGATGCTTGTTATTGACGTCAAAATAAACAATAAAAGGAGCTCTGCAACGTAATGGCGACTCTTGCCTAAGCCGAGAGTTTGAGTGAAAATATATAAAACACAGGCCGACTAATTTGTCTTTCTGAAATCATCAGCGGTTGATGGGTGAAACGAATTGATGCAGAAAATTCGTCTGCACCACATCTCTACGATATACAGCTGGTCTACTTTAATGACATAAGGGGCCTATCTGTGGCCATAGGTTATGATCACTTTCGGTCGAGGAGAAGACAGGGAGCCATAAAATCATGTGCTTTAAGGCCCAGTCAACGCATTAGTCGGATAAGCTTGACGAACCTAAACCGAAACCCCTCACTGGACCATCGTATGCAACAGCGCTTTCGAAAAACGCAAGGGCTGTAACTTATTTAAAGCATTGTCGCAATTGATTTTAGAGTGCAAATGAAACTTCCTTCTCCCGGCGTGTTAGGGATGAAGTTTTCTCCATGGAAAGGACAAAAGCGGTCATCAAAAAGCAGAAAGTGGCAAGGGGATCTTCGCTTTCTTAGTATAACTGGCGATGATCACCCCAAAATCTTGACAACGAGTCAAGAAGTTAACGGCTGTATAAATCAAGATATGCAAATGATCAAAGCGAACAACGCAGAAAAGATGTAAAGCTTACTTCTCATTCTCATCGGAGAAGTGTAGATCGTCAATGATGTATGGGTCCTCTTTGAATCGGACCTGATAAAGTTGGCTAGGATCCTTTTTTCTAGGCGTAGCTGGAAAAGGGAGGACTTGCTTTACCGCAGACACTGAAACCCGGTCCAATAAGGTCTTGAAATGGTATGAAGCATATTGCCTATGCATATATCTTAACGCCTTGCAATCATCAAAACTTCTCTAAACTGAGTGTATCCCTTGCTAAGTATCGGGATTTACATGCTAAATTCAACCATTACTGCACGCAATTCTCTATCCCTTATCGCAAACATTACAATAACAGGCCACCAAACATTCCGTAATGAAAACGATTGCATGCAATACATTGCAAGCATCTTCGAAATAAGCATAAAACCAGTAAACGTCCACTTGCTATATAGGGGATGAGTAAAGGTCGGGTTTGAAAATAACAGATGCTCGAGTGCTCAGAGAAGTAATACTTAGCAGTACAGCCCAAACAAACCGACAAACGGCCTGAATGTAATTGCACGTTATTGATATTAAGAAATCAGACAAGAGGAAACTATAATTCATTACTGACTAGGGTCTTTGGGCGGCGCAGTTTCAATCCACGCGTTATACCTGCGAATTTGCTCCTATGAAATATAACTTAAGGAACAAATCACGGACTTGTCTCATTGAGCAAAACAAAATTTGTTTCTGTTCTTCTGAGAGCTCCTGTAAAAGCTCAGGCTCGATGTACATGTTTTTTAAAATTTCCTCCAGCATCTTCGCGGCTGTGGGCAGTAAGGCTGTTAGACAATAGTTTAAATTCGTCCGACAGAAGTCACTTTGTTCAAATAAAGCGTTATAACGTTCAAGTAGCACAGATATGTTCGTCGATCACATTATTAAAACGTTTTTTATCTACAAACGAATTAATAAACAAGAGCACAGGAAAATGAACTGTTCTCATGTTTGCCACGGTCACTCAACCAGTTAAATGGACACCAGATTTAAAATTGATTTTAGATTATTTGCGTGGATAGATCCGGCTGCTTGCATGGAAGAGTTAAGTACGGTAGCTTTTTAACGCGAGCAATGTATTATTGCAAAATGGCTAGAGATAATGCCAGGTAGAAAGAACACTTTCAAAATGACTACCCTAAAATGAAGTTCCCCTAGTTTGTTAGCCTTTCATAACATGTAGGGTGCGAATGGGACAAAGTCCAAAGTCTGAAGTAGTTGTCATCACTGAACAAATGGACGATCAAAAAACTCAAAAGTGGTTTCGCTCAAAAAATCAATGGATTCTACTCACAGTTCTCAAATTAGCAATGCCTTTAAGCGTAAAATTGACGGATTTTAGACGAGGCATGACTTCAGCACCAAGATGTTTAAGTCACCCTGGTCCAGAGGTCCGCCGTTTGCTGAAAAGATTAAAAATCCTAATGAACAACCACACTGGAGTTCGTGAAATATACTGTGAGCAAAGATATACAGGGAGGGATTTGTGTACATCTCCGATGATGTGAACAGTATAATAAAGTATCTATGCATAATATGCGCACTGCAAAGGCGCGCAACTCAGTTTCAAATTTAAGTGAAGCCTTGCATATACTTGGATATTCTTAAGCAATTAACGCCTGTTTGTTTACTTGAGTCGTTTTTAAAGTCGCCTTTCACTGTACCGTAACGAAAAACTTTTCTTCTCTGTAATGCCCCGCAGAGCACGTGCTAAAAGACGAAAGCTTGCGGCCGCCCCACCATCTGTGGGTGCTAGAATTGTGACTGAAGACATAGCAGGTGCCAGAATATGTTCTTCGCCTTCTGCAGATATGATTAACTCACAAATCCCTTTAGTACATGTAGAACCTCTTGACCCTTCAGTCGTCCATAAATACGCCTCTGCTAGTCGTAGCAGGCCATCAGCCGACGAAATGCCCGATCAGTTGATATATGGCGACATAAACAGTACTTCTGAAAGAGTAATTGAACAAGCTTTTAATCTAATTGGGTTAATAAGTTCTGAAACTGAGGAAAGAATTAAACGCAAGCAGAATTTCGTACTGCGTAACATTCCGAGCCAGTTAACTGCTATGGAGGAACGCATTTGTTCCTACAAAGTTGTGGCTTGAGTTTCAGTGTCGCATAAACTAAACGACACCTACTATCAGTTTGAATAAGTCCTCTACAACACCAACTGAGGCCTCTGCACGTCACAGCATAATCAATTCCGTAGGAAATTCGACTGCTCTTAATGCTGAGATTTTTAAACACACCATCACGCATGGTATAAACACGCCTATATCGACCCCCTCAGCAACCCCAAGTAAGCCTAAGCATGTATCTATGTCAAAGGCAAATCCAATTGCTGTCTCAGCCCCTCGGACACCCGATAAATCCAGCACCATTATAAAATCTTTTCCTTCACAACTGGCTAACAGTGCTTCAAATACCCCGACTCAAAACGTAGCGTGTTCTCAACTGACCACCAGGCCTCATATGAAGGCAGTTAGGCCGAATATGCCGATTTTCACGCCGTTTAATAGAACTCTTGCTCCAATAGAAACCGTGGGTCCCCAATAAAAAACTTGTTTCCTCCAGGGCCGTTTAACCAATGTATTCCTCACGCTAATGTCCATACTGGATCAGTTAACTTATCCGATCCTCAGTATTGTTCCGGCGGGAATGTTTTGCAGTATCTGGCCCGCGGACTTCCAGCTGAAAATGAGTAAGCTATCAATGGTTACCAGTTTACCTGCCCGTCATTTTCTTCCCCAAGACCTACCCCATTTTATCCACGTCAGAATAATTTATGCCACAAACGTTTTTGCAGAACCGGATGGGTAAATCCGGACCGTTTGCTCCGTGGGCAGCCAAGCACTGGACGACGTAGCCCACCTCCCTCAAAAACTAACAGCCTTTCCCTTCAAAGTTTTTGTTTTAAATGCCAGATCCCTGCTTAATAAGATGCCCTTGCTTCAGACTCTGGTGTTCGCCCATTGTCCAGATATTGTTTTAGTCAGTCAGTCAGTCAGTGTATTTGAGGGAAATAGGCTTACGCCTTTGAACTCCCTATTTGTACATAAAAAATCGATAAACAAGCAAAAATGTGAAGAAATTACAGCATTAAGTAAATGCATACATTGATTCACATATCTCACTAGTCACATGGCTAAAAAGTCACATAGTCCGCTTGTCGCTGCAGCGTATATCTGTCAAGGCGACATTTAAATGTCTCCACAGATTGAGACATAACAACCGTCTCGGGCAGGTTATTCCACGGTTCCACGACACGGTTGGAGAAGAAATATTTTCTCACATTCAGTCTACCCTGTGGCACACGTAGCTTGAAGGGATGTCCCCGGAGGTGAGTTGTAGTGGCGAGTTGGAAAAATTCATCGCGCCGAAGGGCACAATCCAAGCCGCGCACGATACGGAAACTTTGTATCATGTCTCCGCGCAATTGCCTATAACTCAGAGGATAGAGATTAAGGTTAGTTAAACGGATCTCGTATGGCCGTGCACTTTGACCTCTTATTAATTTTGTTGCTCGTCTCTGCACCCTTTCGAGCAGATCGTAATCCTGATGCGTCCACGGTCTCCAGGCCTGAATTGCATATTCGAGATGGGGCCTTATAAACGTGCCGAAGACTTTGGTGAAGCAGTCTTCATCGAAAACTACGAATGTCCGCTTGATGGCATATAGCATTGAGGTTGCGGCCTTGGCCGCCTTACAGCATTGTGTAGAAGGTTTTAGGCTGTCTGCAACCCAAATTCCGAGATCTTTCTGAGTTTCTACTTCTCGGAGTGGCATTCCGTTCAGATGGTATTGCCGCGTACTAGAGGCCTGATTTCCGAGGCGCAGAATGGTGCATTTGTTCCAATTGAAGGACATGAGCCATCTGCGGGACCACTTGTCCAATCGACAAAGATTTTCTTGGAAGTTGGTCTCATTGGCAGCATCCTGGATGACTTTCCAGATTTTTATGTCGTCCGCAAACATGGCACAATCACAGTCCAACCCATCTACACAATCATTGATGAACAAGAAAAAGAGAGTTGGTCCGAGCACCGAGCCTTGTGGGACCCACTCTCTATGAATGTGCACCTTGATTGCTGTTGTTCTACGCAGAAAATTTGGGAGCGGCCGACAAGGAAATTTTCGATCCATTTGAGAAGTTTGCCACCGATGCCCATGATTCTCAACTTGTGTAGGAGACGCTGCTGCGGAACACTGTCAAAGGCCATCCGAAAATCAATATAGGCAACATGCACGGTGTGTTTTACGTCCAGTCCTCGTGTCCAACTTTGCATTGTGTATAGCAAGTTCGTAACACATGATCTTCCCCTACGGAAACCATATTGTGCATTGGACAAGAGATTGTGACTTTCCAAATAAGTCATCAACTCCTTTTTGATGATTTTCTCCATCACTTTGCAGCAGATTGATGTCAGACTGACGGGTCTGTAGTTTGTCGCCAGAGCACGACTACCGCTTTTGTAATCTGTCTGCACTTGACCACTGCAATGACTTTATGCTAAAGTTTGGCTCTTTGCTGACAATTCTTGGACATTTATTCGACGGGAACATCTCCGATATTCCCTCTGAAGAATGTAGGCGTCTCGACTCACTTGTTCACCTGATCGCCAGTGAATCTAGTGATAGACAGAAGCGTTCTTACAACTTCCTGCTAAAAAATGTTCCTCGATCTGCTCGGCCAATTGATGTTGCGACCAGTTTCCTGTATTCATGTGGTTTCAACTATAAAATAGCGGATGCCAAACGCTTGTCATCCCGTAGTACAAATCCACCCATCTTAGTCAAATTGTTTTCATCAATCGAGGTTGACACAATCTTTACCCATCGGGAGCGTGTCACTGCGTACCTAGAGAAGGCTAAATTTTTCCTTTGTCATGATCTTACTCCTATGGAACGTAGAATGGGGTCTCTATTCTCACGTAAACCTACTACTTCTCAGTCTAATGCTCCCCAACTCGGTCATAATACAAGTGGCCGTAAGGATTCAGCTTCTCAGTCTAATGCTCCCCAACTCGGTCATAATACAAGTGGCCGTAAGAATTCAGCTTCTCCTACTCCTACGACATCTGACTCCCTCCTTCCTCTTTCTCCGACATCTTCATCTCACTCGAACCACTTGACGCATTTGCCTGCCCCTAAACTTGCAGCAGCAGCAGCAGCCCCATTTGTCGTTTCGTATCCTCCGGATAGTCACGCTGAGACACATGAAAGTCCGTCTACATCAGCTAGACCGATAACTTCTATTGTCCAACTGGGTGCTGTAAGGTCTACAGCTAAGTCACCTGTGGCTTTGCGTCAGAACGGTGAGACTCGAAAATTGAATCAGACTCCGACCCAAAAGAAAGGTAGTACAGTTCCATTTGGAGGTACTACGCCTTCTCTTAGATCTAACAAGTCTGCTCAGCCCAGCACGTCTACAAATCCCGCAGCTCCAATTATATCCTCGAATAATTCTCTGTCCTGCGTACCGGTTACTTATCAAAGCCCTACTATATATCCAGCAACTAATACATACATGAATTGCCCTAAATCATTTATGCCCCAACCTAGTTCAGGCTTCCCACCACTTAAGGCCAATTGCTCTCAGGTACGTCAACCTATCTCCTTTGACTTCCAATCTAGACCTGGTTTCCCACTATTTCATTCTTATAGTGGCCTACCCTCACCCATTAGCCCCTACTTTCCTTCTAGCCTCCCTCCTCCTCCTCCTCCCCTTCCTCCATTATTTAACTACCAACAAGTC